AAACTTTCTGAACATCTTCTGTTACTTTGTTTGAACAGATTTTTCTCAACAGTTTCAGCTGATTGTCACGTTATTAATAATAAGCCACAACAGAGCTCAGTAATAAAACACGAGTCTAACCCCCCCACCCCCCACCCCCGCTCTGTGCCGCAGCGCTACAGCACAGCTGTCACTTCAGACCCGCGGACAAGCTGATCAAGAGGCAGAGACATAACCCTCCCTTATTTTAATCAACAATAAAATGCAGCAAAGCATATATCTGCAGTTATTCACTGAAGAAAACGTAATTTCTATGAGCTAAATAAAAATATTAAATTGAATAAATGGATCAGGAAAGCAGGAAGAATAGTTATTTCTGTTTTTACTTTTTTCATTTCGTTTCATGGCGTTTGTTTACAATTTTTCTTTTGGGAAAGGCAACTCTGCGCATGCTCAACCTATTTTATCGGATTAAATGCTTGGTGCGTATGTATGCACGGCATGATCTGATCATTTCAGTTCGTGTCCATGTGAACAGAGATTCGGAAATTCCGATCAAAAAGGATTTCAATCGGATTGAGGAAATTTGGCACATGTAAACGCAGCTACTGAGACAGAATCAGGGTCTCTCCTCATTCTGAGGCTTGTAGAGAAAGAACCGTAACACTTACAGATAAAATGAAACCCATTCTGAAAAGCTGACAAAAATTCGTGCCTTTTGAGATACAATTTCTTTCAGTACTCCAAACGGTCTGGGTGTTGGAAAGAGTTGTTTCCAGAAAACGTGAAGGTCAAAAGTTAGAGTGCGGAATTTTCAGTTAAGAGTGGTGAGAGACTTTTTTTTATTTAAATATTCTCAAACAAATGAAACGTACGACCACAATGTTTGGAGTACATTCATGATTTATAGCTCAAAACGAAGGTATATCCGTTAGCTGCAAGCCAGCATGTGTCTCATTTCAATCGGACTTACGGTTTTCTCAGGACATTGCCAGAAATGGAGCAAAGGAGGGTCAGTGCTCCCATCTCTGCCCAATATAATTTGAGATATTTTCTGAAAATCTCAAGCCGTACCTCAACTTCTACCTGTGATTTTAGAAAAACTAATAGATATGTAAAAGATTTTATTAACCAGTTATAGCTGAAAGTCTTGTGAGTTTGTTGAATCTTGAATTAACTCTCTAGGTTAAAGTTAACCTATAAGAGTAAGAGTTCAAAAAAGTGATAGGATTTAGCTGAAAATTGAGCAATCCCATTCATTTCAATGGGACCAAAACTCGCAGAAAAAGCTGAATATCTCAAAAAGTATAAAATATTTTAATACCAAAAGTCATTGCCGGCATAAGCTGAACGAGCTGAACGTTTTGATACCAAAATTGTGTAAATAGTTGAAGAATTGTGGAAGTAGTTAAATGCCAAAAAACGTACGGAAGCTGAATAATAAACCGACTAACTATAAAGGGAAACAGGATCACTATAGTTTGAATGCTTTACAGCATTCAAACAATAAAGAGAAACAGGATCAAACAATAAACTATAATAAAGAGAAACAGGACCACTATACAGCATTCAAACAATAAACTAATAACTAACTAGCTAACTATAAAGAGAAACAGGATCACTATAGTTTGAATGCTTTACAGCATTCAAACAATAAACAACCAGGGCGCAGCAGCGCGCCACAGTCTTCACCAGAGGTGTTTCAAACCCTCCCAGCGGGCGGGGAAAGCTCATTCCTGGGTCTGAGCCGGCCCGCAGCACCCAGCCACAGGCACGCAGGTGATGGCGGGGCAGAGGAGCTGAAACCTGGACCGGAGCCAGCCCGCAACAGCGCGGTATGCATAATTTGGTATATAATTCACTTTGGTGTGTAAAGCCTGATTTATGCTTCTTCGTCTGCGTCAGTGCGGAGACACGCAACGCCATTATCCGTCCTTGCGTAGGGCTCCGGCAGGCACGCAAGTACGTACGGAGTCGAGCCCACTTTTTTAAACATCCGTCGAACGAGACAGATTACGCAAGCTTGTGATTGGTCACGACCAGGTCAGGACGCCGCTGTTGTTTACAGCGCCACCATTGCAAAGAGAGCTGAGGATAACTAGCGGCAGACACGGAGAAGCTTGAAGAATGCCTCGTGAAAAAACTAAAAATATGAAAGTTTAATTCTCCCGTGACTGGAGGAGTGAAAAGATGCGCAGCAAGCGTTTTATTTGTGGACGGAAATGACAGGAAACGTGGGTTTAGAGGTGGGGAGCACATGAAGAGGTGGGAGAATGAGAGACAAATATGTCCGTGTTAAAAGTCTCTTATATACACAAAAAAACACAATATAAACACACTATCTTGGACCGATACATGACAGGATACCACAGAACAGCGCTACGCCCTCTGTTGTCCTGCTGGGGAATTGCTTTGCAACACTCTCCAGGAGACGGAGAAGTATGAAAGCAAAACGCTTCCGTCGATCCGTGCGTGTCTGTCCCTTGCGGAGCTGACGGAGAAGCATAAACCAGGCTTTAGTCGCAGGACCAGCCGGACTACGAAAAAAAGTGCGACTTATAGTCCGGAAAATATAGTATGTAGATTCTGTCAATACAAGTGACCTAATGGCTTATTTACTCCCTGCATCTTTGCAGATGTGCAGCGGCGTGTTTTCATTGCTTTAATGCTGGCAGTGGGGAGGAACAACAGCATATATGACAACAAATAGCGATATCAAACGTGATCTCCTTCTTTTGGGTTTAATGGCGGATGTCATAAACTCGAGGGATTTTGTCATCTCGCCAGTCGATCGACGAGTCCAGCGGAGAAGCCGCATCGTGGCTGAGAATCTCCTGGTGTGCAATGGAGTGCAGTGATTGTCACGCGTAAACCTTTCCGCTGCCATTCTGTGCCACTGATGCTTCCAGTGTTCAGTAGGGGTCAGTCAGAGAAGCGGGAGATGAAAACGACAAGATTAGGAGTCTCACTCATTAATATTCATGGTATGAGTGGCTAACAGTAACACCTCTTCCACTGCCTTTGTTCTTTTTTGGGTAAAAGTGCAAAAATGTTCCTTTCTGTGGCTAATGCAGGAACAGAGGGGGAGAACATTTTCATGTTGACATGTGACTAATCGTATTTCAGAAAGAAGTACTGCACAGTTTCTATGGGAACTAAACCTTTAATGTGTGGAGAAAGTTTTAAAAATGTGAAAAAGGCTATAAAGCTGCCAAGAGAGGAACATTCAAAGTCTAAGCGTTTGTTCATCAACGCAAATCTACTGCAGTAGAGTCCTAAACTCGAATCAAATGAACAGAAATGACCTGTTAATGGAGTAAAAGTGATTAATTTTGATGCTTAAGATGATAGATCACAGAAATAGCGTTAAGTGTAGGTATGTTTTCTAAGATATGGGAAAAGCTTTTATAAAAAGATTTGACAGTTTTGAGGTAAAACATGAATTGCTGACAGAAAGTCAGTATGGGTTCAGGAAAAATAGATCAACTACATTGGCATTAATAGATTTAATGGAAGAGATAACAGAATATATGGATAAGAAGAGGTATGCACTTGGGAGTTTTCCTAGATTTAAGGAAGGCCTTTGATACGGTTAACCATGACATTTTAATAAAAAAAAATTGCAAAGGTATGGGTTTAGAGGAGTGGTTTTTACTGGTTAAAAAGCTACTTAAAGAGAAGACAAGAATATGTACAAATAAGTGAATTTAAATCTAATTTGATGGATACTGAGTGTGGAGTACCTCAAGGTTCAGTACTGGGTCCAAAAATGTTTATCATGTATATACATGACATCTGCTGCTTATCAAAGATTCTAAAGTTTGTAATATTTGCAGATGATACAAATATTATTTGTTCAGGTGTAGAATTGACAGCGGTTGTGGAAATGATCACACAGGAATTAACATTAAAGAAGTGGTTTGACATAAATAAATTATCACTGAATCTAGATAAAACAACATTTATGTTATTTGGAAATCAAAAGAAACATCTCAGTGTAGAAACATGTGTTGACAATGTATATTTAGAAAGAGTAAATGATATAAAATTTCTTGGTGTGATCATTGACCACAAGGTCTGTTGGAAACCACATATTGCTTATGTTCTGGGAGATTGGCAAGAGGCATAGCTGTTCTGGTGAAGGCTAAGCAAATCTTTGATCAGAGAGCACTGAACATATTGTACTGTGCTTTATTATTGCCATATATGAGCTACGGTGTAGAAGTCTGGGGAAACTCATACAAAGGTAATATCCGACCAATAACTATAACGCAGAAAAAGGCCACGAGACTAATAAATAATGCAGGGTACAGGGACCATACAAATGCATATTTTATCAAAATGCAAGCTATCAAATTTCAAGACTTGGTACAGTTCAAAACCGCACAAATAACATAAAGTAAGAAATAAAATGCTACCAAAAGAAATTAATAAATGTTTAAAGACAGAGAAGGTGGGTACATCCTAAGAGGGAAATGGAATTTCAAATACAAAGTACCAGAACTACTTTAAAAAGAATGTTTATTACAACAGCAGGAGTAAAATTATGGAACCGCCTAACCAAAGAAAAGAAATTAATAACTTAAACCAGTTTAAAAGTAAATATAAAAAACACATTTTAAATAGATATAAAAATGAAGAAATTGGGGTTAAACCAGGTCAGTAATACTGAGGTTGATAGGGTTGGTTTGTTACGCATTTCGTGAATTTGAAATGTACATATGTATGCTGTGAAAGTAAATATGTGGCAGGGTTTGTTTATGGTTCATTTTGTTTATGGTTTATTTGATGTATTGGTATGTTTGGTTCATTGTTTGATGTTTGTTTTATATTTTGTCTGAGTAAGTTAAGACTAAAAGTGCAAGAATGAGTTAAAACTAAGGGGGTGGGGCTAAATAAGTGTTTACTTCTGCCTACTCCTTTTCAAACAAATTGCTGGAAGGATAAGTTGTAAGGACTGTGAATATGTTTGAAATAAAAAAGAACTGAACAGAACTGAACTGAATGATGATTCTACCTACCTTGTAAGGAAACCTCCAGGAAGTAGTCAGCATACTTGACCATGTACAGTTTAGTCTTCTCCAGGCTGCTCATAGGCCAGCCATCATGGAGGTCTCCATCTTGGACACCAACAGACATGTAGTACTCGATAAAATGAGCAGCTGTAGGGAGGTACAGATTCCAGTCGAAGGTTTTCAGCAGCAGCAGCTCCATGTGGAGTAAACCCTGCTTGGTCAGCACCAGGTTGATGGAACTCATGCAGCCCAAGTTGTTCAAGGTCTCCAACTTTGGTACCCGGTCCTCCTTTTCCTCAAATTTACCTGGAGAGTGGAAACATGTAGATCACATGCATAATAGTAGAGAGTTAAGGTAAGGTAAACCACCCTAACCCTAACCAGGGAGGAACAAGGAGGAACAAACTTGTAGTTACTCAATCACTCGTCAAGAGAAACAAGCTTGATATCTGTTCCAAACAGTTTCAATTCATAGGTATTATGTAGCTACAATAAGAAAATAGTTCAACATAGAAACAATTCAAATGACCTGTACCCATACAACATTTCTATATTATGTATAGACGGGCAGGTCCAGCTCACATAAAACTACATTAAGAGGATTTGTTTAAAAGTACTCCTAATGGGGGAAGAAACAAGAACCTAAAGCAATTGCTCTTAAATTTAACTGCTGTAAAACACTTTCCAGGAAGGTAAGGGCTCAAAGTCTTGGAAAAGCACAGGTTCTGGGTCACTAGAGACTGATCTACCCAGTCTGAGGGTAGTATCCACATAAATGTCTTGCAAGGCTGGTACATCTTTACTTCATTAATCAGCCTTTTCCCCTCGTGGTTCAGGCTCCAAACCAGGCAGCCATCCCATATCTGACCAGGCTCAGTAAAACCACATTGAAGAATGAGGTCAAAACCTGTTTACAGACTCTCAACGGTCTTAACTAGGGCAGCTCAGTGGCTAACAGCCATTCGAGGCTGTTTGCTCAGCAGTTTGCTCTAGTGTGCGGCAGGCTTTAAACAGTTAGTAACATCCATTACATATTTGGGAATCTAATTGGATTTGCTTCCCATTGATTACCAGTGGGATGTGCTCAACCAACTCTCTTGGGTCAAAACTAATCTATGTATCTGGACTTGTGACCTATTTGACAGCATACAGGGAGTGCAGAATTATTAGGCAAATGAGTTTTGTCCACATCATCCTCTTCATGCATGTTGTCTTACTCCAAGCTGTATAGAATAGAATAGAATGCCTTTATTGTCACTATACATATGTAAAGTGAGATACAGAGCATCTCCTACTCTGTGTGAAAAAACATACGGGGGGGGGGGGGGGGGTGTTTACAGTTCTGCAGCGCTATGTACATATGGACAGTAATAGTGTTATATACAATTATTGCACAGTATTGGTACAGTTCTGCAGTGCTATATACATATGGACAGTAATAGTGTTATGTATATACAATTACTGCACATAGAATTGGTATAAATAGATAGTGGTGGTCAACAGAGGAAGTGGGGGGCTGTGTTATCGGTGCATGTGTGAGTTCAGGGTGGTTATTGCTTTGGGGAGGAAACTGTTTTTGAGTCTGTGGGTTTTTGTATTAATGCACCTGTAGCGCTTCCCCGAGGGAAGCAGTCTGAACATGTTGAAGCCAGGGTGGGAGCTATCCTTGATGATGTTTGCTGCCCTACTGAGGCAGCGGGATGAATAAATGTCCATCAGGGAGGGGAGAGGACAGCCGATGATCTTCTGTGCTGTCTTTACACACTCTGAAGCCTCACTCTATCCGCCTTGGTGCAGCTGCTGTACCATACCGTGATGCAGTAGGTTAGCAGGCGGTAGAAGGTCAGCAGCAGGTCAGAGTTCAGCTTGTACTTCCCGAGGACTCTCAGGAAGGGCAGCCGCTGTTGGGCCTTCTTGATGACCGCTGAGATGTTTTCCTCCCAGGAGATGTCAGCAGAGATGAGGACACCAAGGAACTGGAAAGTGTGGACCCTCTCCACACACTCCCGTTGATGTAGAGGGGGGCCAAGTCACTGCTGTGTCTCCTGAAGTCGACAATAAGCTCTTTGGTTTTCTTGGTGTTCAGAGACAGGTTGTTTTCTGAACACCATGCTGCCAACTTCAGGACTTCCTCTCTGTACTCTGCCTCGTCTCCCTTTGAAATGAGTCTGACTACCATGGTTTCATCAGCAAACTTGATGATGAGTGTTATTGTGGGTCGGACTGCAGTCGTGGGTGTACAGAGAATACAGGAGGGGGCTCAGCACACAGCCCTGTGGGGAGCCGGTGCTCAGTGTGCGAGTGGAGGAGAGATGAGGGCCGAGTCTCACAGTCTGGGGCCAGTTTGTGAGGAAATCCTTTATCCAGGCACGTGTGAGAGGAGGGAGGCCAAGAGTGACCAGTTTGTTGATGAGGATGTCTGGATGATTGTATTAAAGGCTGAGCTGTAGTCCACAAAGAGCATTCGGACGTAGCTCTGCCGCTGCTCTAGATGACTCAGCACAGCGTGGAGGGCTGTGGCGATGGCGTCTTCTGTGGATCTGTTTGCACTGTATGCAAACTGGTGGGGGTCGAATTCTGGGGGGAGGTGATCCTTAATGTGCTGAAGGACTAGTCTCTCAAAGCATTTCATGATTACCGGTGTGAGGGCCACAGGGCGGTAATCATTTAAGCTGGAGATGGGAGACTTCTTCGGTACTGGGATGATTGTGGCTGATTTTAGACAGAACGGGATGGCTGCCTGATTGAGTGAGAGGTTGAAGAGTCTGGTGAAGATGAGGGTGAGCTGGTGTGCGCATGCTCTTAGTACTTTGCCAGGTACTCCGTCTGGACCAGCCACCTTCCTGGGTCTGACATCGTGCTCCGTTACAGTGAGTGGAGCGGTGTGAGAACCAGGTGAGGATGAGGATGGAGCAGGGCTGAAACAGATGAGTGTTGCTGTTGTGGTGTTTCAAAGCGGGCAAAGAAGCTGTTTATTTCCTCTGCCAGCTGCACACTCAGGTTTTCTGTTTTCGCAGTGCTGCCTCTCTGGTTGATGATGTCTCGCATTCCCTGCCGCACCTCTCGTGTGTTGTTGCTGGACAGGTGGGACTCGATATTCCTTTTGTGGTCTGACTTGGCTTTTTTAATCCCCCTTTTCAGGTCAGCTCGAGCAGCCCTATACAGAGCTCTGTCACCTGACCTGAAGGCGGCATCACGGGCTTTGAGGAGTGAGCGGACCTCGCTGGTCATCCAAGGTTTTTGATTCAGAAAAACCCAAATACTTTTGTCCACTGTCACATTTGCAGTACAGAACTTGATGTAGTCCAGTACTGATCCTGTGAAAGTTTCTAGGTCCTGGTGTTCAAATATGTCCCAGTCTGTCTCTGTGAAGCAGTCTTGTAAT